ATTCAAGAACAGTCAAGAATAAAATCTATTAAGATAAAAATATGAGTAACATTTTATACTATAAGATAGTATATTTTCTTGAAAAATGTATAAAAATGGACTCAAGAAGACTGAAGGTCTTATAGATATTTCTAGCCAAGAAAGAAGTGGAGGACTGTAGAGATAACACAGCAGGTAGGACACTGGCCTTCCACATATATGAGCCTTCCACATATATGACCCGGGTTTGATCCCAAGCACCACATATGGTCCCCTGAGCACCAGTAAAGGTAATCCCTGAGCACAGATCCAGGAGTAAGCCCTGAGCATTGATGGGAGTGGCCCTAAAACCAAAAAAAAAGAAAAAAAGTGGAATCGTGGGTTGGAGAGATAGTTCAACAGTCTGAGTATGTACTTTGTATGTATAAGGCCCCTATTCAATGCCTGGCATTGCATGGTCTCCTGAACACTGCTAGGAGTGACATCCAAGCACCAGAAGTAGTCCCTGACCAATGCGTCATATCACACCCAAACAAACAAACAAACAAACAAAAAAGAGCGAGAGAAATAAAAATAGTAGAATAAGTAATATTAAAAAAAAAAGGCAAGGTAGAAAATGATCACCCCAGACCTAGATATTTTATTGGCAACTTCTACCAGATATTCAAGGAACACATAATTCCTATTTTATACACGCTGTTCCGAAAAAGTGGAAAAGGAAGGAACATTGTGTGTGTGTTACTAGGCCAGTAGAACCAAAGGTTAAATAAGAGAAGAGAGGGGAAATGCAGCCAGTTGAATGTGTAACCCCTCCAATCCTGCAATGAGAGCAAATGTTTACTTTCATTCATTTATTCACTATCCTTTCATTTGTTCAATGATTATATATTGTCAGTAGCATGGAGCTCTAAAATCTGGAGGGCGAAGGCTTGGTGGAAGAAATCATCAATAAAGCAAATGATCAAGCCACTGGATAAGGTACACAAAGGACCTTCAGACAGGGACAGCGTGCATACCACAGGGGACCTGAACCGGTTCCAGAGGTCAGGGAGAGTTTTCCTGGCTCATATGTAAGTGGAGTGAGAATAGTCAGGGGGAGACTTCTTAGGGGACAGTTGCTGCTGGGGCTCAGGGAGGAGATGTGAGGCTTGGAGAGTTATTTAGTAAGTGAAACCCATACTCCTGGAAAAGTCAGTCTGTGGTCTCTGGGACTGGAGAGCCTCTCGCAGGCTCAGTGGAGATGTTGAAAAGAAAAGCAAGCAGAGCCTCAAATATGGGCGTAAATCATTCTAGAAAGGAACTCATGGGCCGGAGCCGGAGTATACAGCAGGTAAGGTGCTTGCCTTGCACGTGGCCGACGAAGATTTCATCCCCAACATCCCACATGGTCCCCTGACCTCCACCAGGAGTGATCCCTGAGCAGGGCCAGTTGTGGCCTCAAAACCCAAGCCAAAACAAAAACCACCACCAACAAAACATAGAAGAGTTCACCCAGAGAGGGTGGGGTCGCTGGGGTAGGAGAATCTAGAGGAAAGACTGAGGAGGAGGATGAAGGCAGAGACAGAAAAGGAATGCCTGAAGCGCCAGCTGGAAAACCAGGGAAAGTGGATATGAAGGATGATAAGGGATGAGTGAGTTATTGGAAGGGAGGGTGAAATTGTCATCAGCTGAGTCAGGAGTCTTCAAGAGGGTGAAGGACTGAACTGTGCTGTGGAATCCCAGGGCTACCTGAAGTGACCTGCTGCAGAAGAAACACACAGTAAGCTGTGACAAATAGCTGGCATGCAACTGTCTGCAGAGGAGGTGGTTTTTTTTTTTTTTTTTTTTTTTATGGAGGGGACAATGTAACTGTTCTGGATCTTGGTTAGTAGGATGGTGGTGACTGGCACCTGTTGAACTCAGAGTTATAGATTGAGGAGAGTAAATGTTACTGCTTACAAAAAAAATCAAAACAATGTAATAATAGAGATTTAGGGTCTAGCTGGAAGTCACTAATAAATTGGTTAATTGCAGGGCCAACCCCCTTTATTTTATTTTTGGGTGGGGGAGGGCGCCACACCAGGCAATGCTCAGGGGTTACTCCTGGCTCTGCACTCAGGAACTACTCCTGGTGGTGCTTGGGAGACCATATAGGAAGCCCGGGATCAAACCTACGTTGGCCATATACAAGGCAAGTACCCTTCCCACTGTACTATCTCTCTGCCCCCAGCCCTCCCCTCCCCCACACACTCCTGGCCTTTCGCTTTTTAAAACTCAGCTCAGCATTAGCTTGTGTAGATCTACCCAGGGAACAAGGACATCCCACTCTTGCCTGGTGAAGGACAAAATAAATATGCATGCCACAGAGCCAGTGGGCTCGGGAATCATTGCCTGAACCCTTCTTGAAAACTGACTGATGTGGGTGGGATACCACCTGGTGAGTTTGCCTTCCCAGGAACCTCATATATAAGTAAAGACCCTTTGACCTCTTGAGGTCTGTGGTTCTAGTGTAAAAATCCTAAACACAAGTCAATCAGCTCTTGTCCAAGTTTTGTTATTGGGAATAACTATAATAAACAATTGCCAGAACAGCAGCTGGCTCTTGGGCCCTAGAAGAAGGACGATAAGGGATGAATGAATTGTTGGAAGGGAGGGTGAAATTGTCATCAGCTTCTTGATGACCTTCCTCTCGGCATAGAAATAATAAAACTATTTAATGATCGGATTAGAAAGAGGTTTCCTGAAATAAAAGACCCCAAATTTGGGAATTTGAGATTGGGGGAGTGATGGGAAACACTTGGGCTTGTGCTTAAAGCTTTAAAGTGCCTTTTTGAAAGCAAAAGAAGTAACAGGTTTTATAAAAAGATGATCCATATTGGTTGGCAATGAAGAGGGGACTTTGGCATTTGTTCACTTGGGTTCCTCTGTGCACCCCAGTAGTGCTGTCAGGAGGAACTTTACCAATTTAGGAGATAGGGGAGTAAGAGTCCGGTCACCCAAGGCTTTGATGGGTTTTGGGATTTTCCAGCTATTCCACTTCCACTTTTCCAAGACCCACAGTGGATCTGGGGGCAGTCTTAGTGTTAACTGTATTCAATGTGTCCTAATCCTATAACAATTAATGGAAAAGTGTTAACTGAGCATCAATTCATGCTAAACATTAATCTGAGTATTCGATGAACCACAACTTTATGTTGACCCTCATGCCATATTAACTCAATTTATTGTAATAATTTAAAACAATAAGGATAATTGCATCCTCATTGTTCTAAATACCCTACAAATTGAATCCAGCCTGAATCTGGCCAGCCCCATAACTAGGGGGAGAAGTTTGCAGTGCCTTTGGGAAGTTAAAGACGTTGTCTTCCTGGAGTTTTCACTGCGGGAAGGGATGAAAGGGGAATTTATTAAGCACCGACTGTGTCCCAGGGCCCCTGTGCGTCACACTTTGCCCTGGGGGCCCCCCCGGGAGGATTTGCCTGAAGCTTTCTGCTCTCTTAGCTTCCTTCCCACTGGGTGGCGGTTCTTGGGCTGTTTCAATTTCATGCATTTTACTCTCTCGGCATAGAAATAATAAAAATATTTAACGATCGGATTAGAACGAGGTTTCCTGAAATAACCCTCCTTCCCAGTCATCCCAGAGACACTCCACAACTATTCCAACTCCATGCAAAACTGTGCTTTTTTCTCCCCCCGAGCCCCCAACCATTTGACCTTGACCCTTAGACATCTACTTTCTTTCTTTCTTTTCAAACGCAGGAAGGTTAACGCGCCAACCCTTTCTTGGGCACTTGCTCGGCATTGGAAATACGTGAAGTTCCAAAATAACCTTTCCTGGGCACGGCTTTTTCTTCTTCTTTTTTTTTTTTTGTACCTCTTGCCGGCGAAGGGCGGGGAGCGGCGGCGCGAGACGTGCGGGTGGTAGAGCGAGCGCCCGAGAGAACTTCCAGCGCGAGAGGAAAAATAAAACTTGTGGCTGGTGTCGGAAGCGACAGGGTCTCCACCAAGCCCAACGTCTCCCCCCGCCCCACCCCGGCCCCCAACCCGGGTGCCCGGACCATCCAGGGAGGAGGTCCGGAGGAGCGCGGGAGCTGCGCGCGGAGCGCCGGGGTCTGGGTTTGATCCCGGCGTCCTTGACCTAAATTTCCGCGCCGTGGCTGGGGGGGGGGGGGGAAGGGGGCGCAGAGCCGGGCGGGCGAGCGGTGCCACCCCCGGATCCCCGGGCGCCCGGGGCGCGCCAACTTGAATGAAGAGGCCGGGCTCCGGGGGGGCTGCGAGGTGGGGTGCGGTGCAGGGTAGGGGGGGCGCCGGCGGAGAGCGGCCCGCGCCTCCCGCCCTCGCTCCCCGCCCCGGTGCGCGTCCTCCCCGGCGGCCCGCGGCGGCCCACGTGACCCGGCCGAGTCGGGGCGCCGCTGCCCCGCGCCCCCGCGCCCGGCCCGCCCCGAGGCGGGGCGCCCTGGGGCGGCGGGGCCGGGGCCGGCCGCGGGGGGCCGGGCGTGCGTGCGCGCGCGGGCGGGGGCCGCGCCGGGTGCGTGACGTCAGCGGCAGGGGTTACACGACGTTCCAGAACCCCGCCCCGCGTGCGCGGGGGTGGGGGCGGGGAGGAGGCGGAGGCGGGGGAGGCGGGGGAGGAGGCGGAGGAGGAGGAGGAGGCGGCGGCGGCGGAGGAGGGGAGGAGGGGGAGCGGCGGGGATGGGCCGGGGGGGCGGGGACGGGGGGGTGTGCGAGGCGCGGGGCTGCGCGCCGCCGAGCCCACGTGTGACGGCGCTTGCCGCTGCCCCGGCTGCGCGGCTCGCGGAGCGGCTCCGGAGGCGCCCGGGCAGCAGCAGGGGGGTGGGGGGGGAGGAGGAGGCGGAGGGGGAGGCGGAGGGAGCGGGAGATCTCGGGGCTCGGAGCCGGCCGCCGCTCCGCGCCGCTCCGCCGCGCCGCTCCGCCGCTCCGCTCGCCGCCGCCGCCGCCGCCGCCGCCGCTGCCGCCGCCGCCGCCGCCGCTGCAAGGGGCTCGGAGACCTTTTTCTTTTTCCAAAAAGGGGGTGGGGGTGGGCGGCGGGTGGGGGGGGGCTCAGCTATGGAGGCGAATGGGAGCCAGGGCACGTCGGGCAGCGCCAACGACTCCCAGCACGACCCCGGGTAAGTTTCCAGCCGCCGCTGCCCACCCGGGCTCGCCCGTGTGCGGCGCGGCGGGGCCGGCGCTGCGCGGAGCCGGGCATCTCCCGCGCCCCCCGCGCCCGCCCCGCCCGCGCGCCCCCCGCCCCCGGGGCCGCCCGGGGCCCGCGTCGGCCCCCCGCGCCCCGCGCCCCGCACCCCGGCTCGCGCCCCGCTCGCCGCCCCCCACCCCCCCCGCTCTCCGGGTAGCTTTTGTAAGTTACACGTCAAAATGGCCGATCTGACATCGGTGCTCACTTCGGCTATGTTTTCTCCCTCTAGTAAAATGTTTATCGGCGGACTGAGCTGGCAGACCTCACCAGGTAAGGGAGGGAGGGGGGGCACGCCTGGGTCCCCCCCTTCTTGGCTTCTTTATTGCTCTTTGTTATCCCGGTAGAGGAGCCCCCCCCCCCGCCACCATTGACTCCCCACTTCTCCGGTACAAGGTTATTTATTTATTTTTTTTTAAATAGCGATTCCTTCTCCGAGCCCTCTAAGCGACCTCTGTTGCTGAATTTTCCCCGCGTGTGCACAAATTTCAAAAAAAAAAAAAATCGCGAAAACAAAGCCGAATAACAAGAGAAAACTACTTTTGGTTTTTGTCCTTGATCAAATTTTTGCATTGCTTTCTCTCCCCCCCCCCACGCCCTCCCTCGTCCAACACCTTCTCTCTCCCTCCCCCCACTCCCCCATCTCTCTCTTTCTCTCTCTCTCTCTCTCTCTACAGATAGCCTTAGAGACTATTTTAGCAAATTTGGAGAAATCAGAGAATGTATGGTCATGAGAGATCCCACTACGAAACGCTCCAGGTAAAAACCATCCCCTTCTGGATTTCGTCTTTTATTTTAGAACAAAGTTGGAGTGTTATTTTTGGAGGTGTTCTTCGGAAGTAGCTAAGCGGATTTAGAATGGGGCTCGGGCGTGCGGCTGCTTTCCAGCCTCGCTCCGGTGCCCCCCGCCCTCTCCCCACAGCACCCCGAAAGGTTGTTGTCGATTGGGGCTGAACTCCGGGCTGAGAGATGTCCACCTCTCCACCTTCAGTCATTTCCCGGGGCGCTGCTTTTTCCCTCTGCTTACAAATGACATGCAGCTTCATTCACTTTCCAGACTTTCCTCTCTCCCCCCTACACCTCTTTTTTTAAAAAAAAAAAACCAAAACGTTACGCGGTTCCCCATGCTCCTGATCCTCCTCCCCCCCCCCCAAAAAAAAAACTCTTAAGCCCCTTCTTAGAAAGCTGAACGAGTCTCTTCCAAGTAAGGTTCCCCCCCCCGCCCCCCGTGGAATAAAACAAAGCGTTAAAGAAAGGGACGAGGAGGAGGAGGAGGACGAGGAGGGGAGGAAGGCGAGGTGGGCAAGAGTGGGGCCGGCAGCCGCCTTTTCTCCAAGTTGCCGCGGCCCGCCCTGCCCGCGTCCCCCTTCCCCCGTTAACCTTGATGCTCGCAGGCGGGGCGCAGCGGGGCTGGCGTGGGGGGTGACTTGGGCGCTGCATCTTGCCGGGGGGTGGGGGGTGGGGGGTGGGGGGTCTTCGCTCCCGGTTGCGTTCCATGGTGTCACGCTTTTTTTTTTTTTTCCTCTTCTTATTTGTTTTCCTCTCCCCTCTTTGTCTCCTTTCAGAGGCTTCGGTTTCGTGACGTTCGCGGACCCCGCAAGTGTAGATAAAGTGTTAGGTCAGCCCCACCACGAGTTAGATTCCAAGACGGTAGGTGGCTCTTCCCTTGTTGGGGTGGTTGTTGTTGTTGTTGTTTGTTGTTTGTTGTTGTTCTTCGCCCCTTTTCAGGAACGAGCTGGGCACTGACAGTCCCATTTAAAGGGACAGCGTCGTCTTTAGCAGCTGTGCCGAGCACCCGGGACTTCCCCTCCCTCCTCCCCTCCCCTCACCCCCCCCACCCCCCCCCCAGAGCTGGCCGGGGCCGGCACCAAACTTTGCTGCGAGGACTGGGTTTTTTTTGGGGGGGGTTGGCTTTTTTTGGCGCCCCCCCCCACCCTCCTAGGAGCTTTTCCCCTTGCTGCCAGGCCTCTGCCTGCGGGGTGGGGGCGGGGTGGGCTCCAGGAGAGGAGCGGGCCTCCGCCTGGGTGGGTGGGTGTGGGGGGAACCTTGCAGAAAGTCCAGCAGCTGAGCCCGGGCAACTTTTCTTTGTCAGCCGAGCCGGGTCCGTGCTCCCAGCGGCGGCGGTGGGAACCGGCTTGGGGAAGGCGCAAACCTGCTCGGGGCTGGGCCGAGGTGCTGGATGGAAGTGGCGGTGGTTGGGGGGCCCAGGCCGGGGCCAGGGGGCGCTCGTCCCCCGGCCTGGCAACAGGTTCCTCCCGGGGTGCTGGGGGCTCCAAATGTGCTGGAGAAGGTGGTGTTGGTGGTGGCAACCTCCCAGCATCACCGGGGCATCCAGTGGCTGCCCCCAGATTGGTGTGAAATCTCAAGTCTGGGGTTTCAAAGTGATTTTCAGTTTTTAAATTTAATTTTTTTTTTTTTTTAAAAAAAGCATTTCTGCTTCTTTCTTTGGGCCTTTGAGTGTGGAAACTTTTCTAGCAGTCACGAGATTAAAATAAAATCCAGCGTGAGTGCGGGGTGGGGGATGCCTTAGGTAGAGGCATGTGAACGGATAAAGGCCCTTCAGTGGAGGTCAGGGAGGTTGTTCTGTTGGGTCTGGGTGGGTGGCCGCTGGCCCTGGCCTTTATGTTGACCCAAACCTGGTAGTGTTGTACCCTCCCTCCCCCCAGTTTTTATATTTGTCTCCCTGAGCAGGGTCCTGGGTGGGGGGGGCGCTTAATGCTTCTCAGGACTTTACTTTTTAGGGGTGGGAGGCTGCAACAGGCAAGGGGCCATTGGCTTGGCGTCCTGCTGTCCAAGGTCTGGGCAGAAAGAAGGTTCCCTGCCTCTGGGCCTCAGTTTTCCTTCTCTGTAAAGTAAAGCAGTGGAACAAGGGCCCTTTAACTTGAACACTGGGAGAGAAAAGAGGAAGCTGCTGCCTTTAGTGCTCTGCACTTGCCCTCACAGACAGATCCACCCCATTCTCTCCCTGCAGAGGTGCTGAGCGCTGAGGTGCTGAGCGGGTGCATGCCCTCTACTGCCCTCTGCCCCCCCACCCCTGCACACCCCATCCCCCCAGGAAAGGCCCCCAAGCCAACTAAGCTGCTTTAATCAGCCCTCTGGATTTGTCAGAGCTCGCTGCTGGCTTGTTTGCACTTTGCAGAGAATTTAATTTCAGGTTCAGTCATTTGTGGGGTGATAATGGATGTCTCCTTGAATTTTTTTTTTTTTTGCTAGACATTTTAAAAAGACGCTAAAATGAAACAGGAGAAATAGTGTGAGGCAGAGGAGGAACTTGAACTTGATTCTCCAGCCCCTCTCCATGCCTGGGAGCCATGGGCCTGGCTTTCTTTGGATTCTGGGCTACCCCACCCCCCACCCCCCCCACCATTTCCCTCCCTAAATGTTTGTTAGACAGGTTGTGCTCTCTTACTGTTTAGTATAACTCAGCTTTTGACTTTGTCTCAACGTTCAGTGCAGGAGGCAGATGCTGTTGGTTTATTGACTTGGAAACGCCGATCTTGTTTACCGTTACCTTAAAAGCTTTGTTTAGGTAACGGCCATTCCTATCCCAAATAGTATCCTAGTCTCTTTCCTAGAGGTTTGTAGCTACAGTAAGTAGAGCTGTACCTAACTAACTAATGTTTTCATTTTTGCTAGTTTTCGTTTTTCTTTTTTCTTAAATAAATAGTTGACAGGGATGTGCAAAAGGTTGGGATTTGCCAAACTTGCCTTGACCTTCCCCCCTTTGCCCCGTTTGGGGAGATCAATGTGTGTGCACTTCACACATCACACTCCACGCTTGTTCCTCAAACCTTAGCACACGATTCAGGGATTCAGATTGGCTTTGAGTTTTGTAATTTTTGAGCTATACTGATGTTATTATTATTATTATTTAGCTACTCTGCTTTCTTCCTGTCTACCTGCCCCCTCCAGATCCTGGCCACCCCCCCCCCCCCCCATAAGTCCCTTTGACTCTGCAAGCCGGCCAGGTGACTTACTGCAATTGTATGCTGGTCAGCTGAAAAAAATTACTTTGGGGGAGTGTTTCTGAAAAGACCGAGAGTCTTCCAGGACTGGTCAACAGAATGGAAAATCCACACCTGTTGTATTTCTCTTGTAGAGAGTTCTCTAGTCAGTGCTGAATACACCTGTAGCTGTGATAGTGTTAATCTTGATGAAAGGATAGTTCCCTAGATCAGAGGTTTTTGTCTAGTTTTCAAAACGTAATCTCTCATTTCTCAGGTGACGTTTAAAGGTGGAGCACATGGGCTGCAGGCTTTTATGAGGTCTTTATGCTCAATCTTTGTCTCACCAGCTGGGTCTTCCAGGATGTAACTCTGGGAACAAGTGAATTATCTGTATTGTGCCACCCCCCCCCCCCCCACCTCCTCTAACCACCCCCTGCCTTTTCCCAAAGCAATTTTTTTACTCTCTCAAAGGCAGAACTGAAAACAAGGTTCAGATTTACATTTTAAAAGGGGAACATTTTAATATGAAAGCTAAAGCCTATAAATAAAGCAGTCAGTATTTGGGCCACTCTCCTTGCTGAGTTTCACCCAAAGATGTGTGACATTTAGAAAGCCAGTGAAAACCTACAATGGCAGTACTTTTGTATTTCTTTGTCTCCATATTTTCTCCAACAATTGTACCCCACTCCCGAACCCCTGTGCACCCCATCCCCAGTTATCTTGTTAGATTCAAATGCTTCCATGGGAAAATCTTCCCTGACTGGAAATCCTCTATTCTGCTGGACCAGGTTTTGTTGGGGGGGGCAGGTGGGGGTTGAGGACATTTTCCCCATTGGATTGGAGTTGGGGTATGGGTGAGACCCTATTTGACACTAGACTTTTCCAGAAATGTTTTCTTCCAGCCCTCTCTTCTCGTAGAGTGAACATATGCGTACTTTTCTAACTCCGTGATTTTTTTTTGAAAACCCATGGCTTTAGCATAAATGTTTCCACTTCATTATTAGTTTTTTGAGGACTAAGTCAGGTTTCACCAGTTTTGAGACTTTTTTTTTTTGAGGTGTAAATTTAGAAGGCACCGTGATTTTGATTAATCTTAGCTAATGTTATTTTTGTGAAAAAAGAAGTCAATTCAAACTCAGCTTTGTGTTCGATGTCTTAAGGGGAAGTGTTTTTTTCTTTGTGTTGACTTAAAAACATTTTGGAATTCTTATCCCCACCTGTGTTTGGTTATCACTGGAGGAAGCACAGTTTAGTTACTGCCGGAAGATTTCTGACATTTAATTTTTAGGTTATGATTTTCAAAAAATGGTGATATTCCATCCATTTTTTTTTCCACCCTAGCCTTGCATCACAGATTTAGATGCAATATCATTCAGTATTGGGTGTCTGTGGTCCTTGCTAAGTAAAGAACACAGAAGATCTGGTTTATTTTTATTGAAAAATTTATCGTGTGTGTATTTTGGACCACACCTGATGGTGTTTGGGGGTTGCTCCCAGCTGTGCTCAGGGGACCAGGTGGTGCTAGGCGGGAAACAAGGCTTCCTGCAATGGAAGGCCTCTGGCTGGTTGAGCCATGTCCCTGGTCTGGGTTCTTCCTGGCTTGAGTTCTCGTTTCTTCATACGTTGAAATGGGTGGTAAGACATTTCAGAAAAGTTTGTTCTGTGTTTCATTTTGGGGAGGAATAAGGAATGTTCAGATTCAAGGTCAACAAACTTTTGAGTTGCCTGGAAAGTTACTAAAAGCTGGCTAAGAAGCCTGAGAAATGAGTGATTAATACTTAGGTTGATTAATCATAGTTCTCATCCCCTGCCTCCCCATCACCCCCTCATCCCCCCCATTTCCTCAAAGTATGAAAACTGATGCCCGCTTTTCCATTTTTGTTTTGCCCTTCCCCCCCAGATTGACCCCAAAGTTGCATTTCCTCGTCGAGCACAGCCCAAGGTAAGTAGGCACCAGTAATAGGATTTTAACACTCAGAAGTGGTTGCCAAGGATTTTCAGTTTCAAACAGAGCACTGGCAGTGAAGCGTTGAAACCTGGAGCGCGCCGTTCCCTCCGAGTGTCCTCAGCCAGTGACCGAGGCGGGTGCTCTGAGATGCTGTGTGTCCACACCTCCACGTCTGGAGGTGGGTTCTGAGCATCTAGTGGGGTGTGTGGGGGGTGGGGAGGTGGGGGTGGGGGATGGGCAGGGGCGAGGAACCCGATCCTCCGTGGGAGGACACGGAACCAGCTGTTGCAATATTTATCCAAATGGTTTTGTTTGTTTTTTCAAAGCGTTGCTGAGATGGCATCAGAAAAATTGGACCGCTCTTGGTCACTCTTTCAGAGGGTAGTCCCGGGCCCCTTTGAGGTCTGGTGGAGCGAGTCGGATTTCTGTAACCAGGGTTTTCTCTGTAGCCACCCTCTGCCTCCCAGCTCTAACTGACAGAGTGGGTGTCTTGGTTTCAGATTGGTTGACTAAACTTGTGGGCCCCTTTGAAACAGGTTGAGCTGCTGCTTTGGGCCAAGACTGGTGCCCGGGCAGATTCGTGCGGGAAATGCTGTTGACTGGGTAGGAGTGGTTGTTACTGGCGGAAGTGTCAAACTGTGCTTTTCTTTACCTTTCGGAGTGTGTGAAGTGTGTCGCTCACATGGTTTTCACCGGGTTTCCACAGGGACACAAGTCTCAGGTGTCAAGCGCTTAGGTTGGACTCGTGAGATTTGAGCTTTTGCATTCTGCTTCGTGTTTCTCGCTATGACATTGGAAGATGTACTTTTCCTGCATCATGTGACCTTGGCACGCTGCGGGAAAGGGGGAAGGTGGAGCTTCTGATGATTGGTCGGAAAGGGAAAGGGCTCCGGCTTTAGCACCCCCAGTTTATGGAGCACGGTGTCCCAGAAGTGGAATATCTCGGTTGTGGAAAGGGAGGAAGAGAGTTGCACGTTGGTGGAGAAAAAGTTGGCTGTTGTGGATGATTTTGAGAATTTCAGTTACAGAACTTGTCGCACAGTTCTTTCTCCTTCCTGAATATATTTTGTCTCCCCTTCTTCTCCTCTTGATTCTTGGCTCGTTTTGAAGAGTTACGTATCTCACAATAAGTACCTGTAGCAAAACATCTTCCATCTTTCTTCACTTTTCTTGTTTGCTTTTGGGCCACATTCAGCTGTACTTAGGCTCAGGGATTACTCCTGGTGGTGCTAGGGGACCATGTGTGGTGCTGGGGATCAAACCCAAGTTGGCTGCGTAGAAGGCAAGAGCCCTACCCACTGTGCCATCTCTCTGGCCCCAAAGCATCTTTTTTTTTTTTTTTTTTTTTTTTTTTTTTTTGCTTTTTGGGTCACACCCGGTGATGCACAGGGATTACTCCTGGCTCTGCACTCAGGAATCACTCCTGGCGGTGCTTGGGGGACTATGTGGGTTGCTGGAATCGAACCCGGGTCGGCTGCTTGCAAGGCAAGTGTCCTACCCACTGTATCGCTCCAGCACCAGCATCTTTTTTTTTTTTAACCTAATGCTTAGGCAAGTCATAGGAATTAATGAACCTGCATTAGACTTTTCTGAGCGCAGATTTTGGGACCATCCTATTTGTTTAGAGACTGCTTTCCAGACTGTTCCTTGGCATTTCAGAAGGCTTTCCAGAGTTAGCTGTCTTCCACGGGGTTTGAAGAATTGGCTGTTTCTTAAGTGTGAATCTTCAAATTTCCAGGTTAGTCATTTGATCACCCAGAACTAGGATCCAGTTACCCTACAGGGAAACTGGAAAAATCCCTAACTTGGTCAGACCATGGGTTTGACCTGTTTTCTCCTCCCCCTGGCTTCTTTCCAAGCCAGGAAGGCAACATTTTAGTTTACTGTACTCTGGAGTTTGGTTATTTATTTATTTTTGTTGGGGGAGGGCATGCAGGTGCTCAGGGGTAACTCCTCGCTCTGTTCAGGGATCCCTTCTGGTGAGGTTGGAGGATCATATGGGATGCCTGGGCTCCAAGGTGGGTCAGCGCGTTTAAGTCAAATGTGCCACTGGCTGTGCTGTCACTTCAGCCCCAGCTGGCATTTGGGTTTCAGAGATGTACTCAGTTGAATATGAGCTAGGACATTTCTTTCTTTCTTTTGTGTTTTTGTTTTGGGGCCACACCTGGCAATGCTCAGGGGTAACTCCTGACTCTGCATTCAGAAATCACTCCTGGCGGTGCTCAGGGGACCATATGGAGTGCAGGGGTATGAAACCACATGCAAGGCAGACGCCCTCTCTGCTGTTCTATCACTCTGACCCTGAGGTAGGATATTTCTTGGGCATGTGGCATTATGTATTTGTACCCCCCACCCCACCTGTCCCTTTTCCTAGAGTCTGGGATATTTTAGGTGAATTATCGGCCTTAGGTGAATGGTTAGCTGTGAGCTCATGTCTCAGCCATCGATCGGGAGAGCAAAACTATCCCTGGGTCACGGATTTAGTCATAGTACCTTAATTTTTATGTTCTGTGTCACAAGGGACTTTCCTGTTCATTATTTCCATTTGACTCCCCTGTCCTGGGATACGCAGCAAATCGCCTTTTTTGCAGCCTCGGTTTCCTCATCCGCAAAGTGGGAGCGATGACCGTAGCTCCCTTAGCTGGCTGATGTGAGTCAGAAGTGAGGCTGGCACAGGGCGAGGGCCTCGTTTCTCCTCATTCCCACCACCACCGTTATCACGGTGGGGGTGAGTCATTATTGCTCTCGTTGGTTTCAAGCTTGACCATCTGGGCTCCGCTCCCAGCTGCACTCAACTCACGTGCAGAGTTTTGGCAAATTGTGCTACTCCCCTGAAGCTCGGTTTCCCCCATCTCAGTTGTTGTTGTTGTTGTTGTTGGTTGTGTGTGTGTGTGTGTGTGTACGGCGTTAGTAAAGGTAAGGCGATTTAAAGAAAAGAAAGCCTGGCACATGGTAGTGTACCATATGTGTTGCTTACTGTTTTTCCTGCTATTTTTAATAGGCTCTCCCACCCATCTTGCGAGAGGCCCAGCAGTACGAATGGTGTTAACTGCGGGTGCTGTCAGGCCCTGCTGTAGCGCATGCTGTGTATTGACTCACACAGTCTTCACCTTTGCCTCCGTGGTGGATACCGGATTATCCCCACCCTGAAGACGGGGGGATGGTGGCACCACACATGGCAGGAGAAAGTGGTGCAAGGGACACACCCAGGCAACCTGGATCCAGAACTGGGCCCTCGCTCAGTGTTGGATCCCGTGGCGGGGGGCGGGGGGGGACCCCAGTCTTGGGGGAGTGGGGGCAGGTACCGGTGCTGTCCGTCAGTTACCAAGTTAGCAAGGGGCCGGCGGGGGCTCAGTTTGATCATGGGGCTGGGAGGCGCGGACGCCTGCCAGCATCTCCGCCTTCGTCGGCCTGGCTCCTGGGATGTCTCCCCTCCGTCGGACTCCTCAGGGAGCCCTTTCAGTTGGTTCTGGAGTTGCTCAAGTGGAGGGAGGCGGCCGGGCTGCGGTGGTTGTGGGGTCGGAGCTGGGTGGGGACAACATAGCCTTGTTAATGGTTATTTTCCCACAGAATTTGAGCCCGGCCACAGGGGTTTCCAACTGGAGTTCGTGCTGGAGGCCAAGCCTGGCCCGAGCAGGGAACTTTAAGTCAGGCCTTTGTGTACTGTTTGTCTCCCTTCAATTAAAGTTCTGTGTGTCCCGGGGAGGATGGGGGCGGGGTGCAAGGTGAACTGTGCCCCTCTTGGTGGCCAGGGCGCGGCGCCTGTAAGTGATACGTCAGCGCGAGGCTCGGTTTAAAATTCATGTCTCTGTGTTCTGGCCGTCCCTCCTCACTGACACCGGCCAAAGAAATATTCCATGGAGGTGTTAAAACAAGACGAGTGGAAAGAAAACGTAACCAAATACCAAAGAAAAGCCCCGGCCGTGAAGAACAGATTTCAGATTCGTCCTGTCCTGACTTTCTCTTGTGTGCTGCGCACATGAAAATCGGCTTTGAGGGGAATCTGGACGTGAGCCCCCCGAGGTCGGGTCTGCAGCCCTGCAGGCCTCCTCCCCCCGCCCCCCTGGGGACTTGGGGCTGTTCATTAGCGAGGTTCATTTGGATCAGAAGAAGATAAGTTTGTCCTGTACCTCCTTGCTCCCCGATGATTATTTCATCTCGTGAAATATGTAAGAGCCGCCCCCGCCCCCTCCCACCCCTCCAGCGGCTCTTGAAAAATTCAGAGGGTCGTGCTGCTCTATAAAAAGGCAGTTTCGAGGGCTGGTGCTGGAGGCCAGGGCCAGGGGATCAATCATGTCACCTCTTTGCTTGGGGCGGGGGGTTGGGCTGCCTGGAAGAGCTGGGCCCCAGTTTGTGGGTTCTCTTCTGGGGTGTGTGTGTGTGTGTGTGTGTGTGTGTGTGTGTGTGTGTGTGTAAGTAAGTGTTCAGCCTTGCACACTGTCCACCTCATTGGCCTGGTTTACGGTGAAGCCCCCTCCCCCCCACCCCTACCCCCACCTCTGTCTCCTGCCCAGCGTTCTCCTTTATTCTGCCTGTTTCTTGTGGCCGTCAGTCACTTACACGCAGGTGGCAGGGGGACACGAGCAGGGGCGTTGTCTCAGCTGCCTCCCAGCGTCGGTTTTCTCCTCCTCACGCCAGGGCAAGTTCTGGTGCCCGACAGGGAGTGGTTTTGAGGTTGATGCAGAATCTATGGCTGGTGCCGGCCACCCCAAAACACCCAGCAACTGTGGGCTATTATTGGACAGTTGTCAGTGCCAATGAAAACGGATTATAATCGTGAAACAACCTAAGAGAAAGATGTTTAAGATAAACTGTGGTTGGGGATGCAAGCCCTCTGAGGGCAGGCTAGTAAGTGGGGCAGGGTGGCAGGGTAAGGGCATGAAGTGGGGTGGGCCCCTTTGTACAGCAGAGGCCAGGGGCTGGCATGGCCGTTGGGCTGTCGCGTTGCTGCCCCAGGTCACCCACCTCTCTATCACGGCAAGGTCGAGCTTGCA